GTGTGTGTGTGTGTGTGTGTGTGTGTGTGTGTGTGTGTGTGTGTGTGTGTGTGTGTGTGTGTGTGTGTGTGTGTGTGTGGCCACCTCTATACTGTCTTATGTTAAACTTTTTTCAGGCCATTCTTGCTCCTCCCTCCTCTCATGGAGTGGATCCGTGTTGCCGTGGTGCACGCTGAACATCGCCGTAGCCTATTGGTTGATAGTGATGATGTCAGACAGGCGGCCAGACAGCTTTTGCCAGGACTAGACTGTGAGCCCAGGCAGCTGAGGTAGGACACCAAAGAATAAAACCACTGATCGTGTATACTGTCAAAGCAGGAGTTGACTGATTACCAGCCTGTCTGGTTATTGGTGCATTATTCAACCTTCTCAACTAGACTGTATTGAAAGGATGCCTTAGATCTTCCAGGTACAGAAAGACTGCCTAGTGACCACAAAAAAGAAAATGAAATCAAGCCTCCAATCAGGAACCCTGAATATCAAAAGAAGCTGTATGGATATCAGTATGAGCAGCATCTAGTCCTCTAATAGGTGGATGTTCTCTAAAAATGCCGTGCAGATAGGAGTTAAATTGATATGACCCGTTTTTTACTGTGTTACTCTGCAGGCCAGAGTGCTGTTTCCAGTTGTTTAAATGTCTGGATGCAGAAGCTGCTTCGGATAAATTCCAGTTGGATTTAGGTTTCAGGATGCTCTCGTGTGGCCGAGCAGACCTGCTCCACCACGCCGCCCGGCTTCTAGGAGCTGAAGGTGTCAACACTATAGACGATCAGGTGAGTGCAGCTGTGTGTCAGTGACTGGAACAGATACTAGGTTGATGTTTATACGTTTAAAATGTAATTCAGAAAACTGCTTAAAAATTTACTGAGAAGACTCCAATCAGAGTAAGGTCAGAAGAGCTCTGCTGGATAAATGTGATACCTTTGTCAGTATACAGATAGATTCATAGGAGACAGAGTCTAATATCAGCAGCTGTGGGACAGCTATGAATAATTTGTTTTCTAATGGTTACAATTTTATTTGCGAAGAAATTCATCAAGTCATTGCTAGTTAAGGTTAAAGGAATAATTGGTTCAACAAAGCTGTGACTCTTTGTCAGTCTGACTGCACTGACACGATGATGTCTCAGCTCTCAGATCTCTTTTTTATAGATTTATAGAGTTTGAAGTGTGTCTGATTTGTTGGCTTCTTCTTCAGAGTAGTCACATTATCATATGCTAGATAACAGTAACCGTAATAACAGGATCATGGACCTCTGTCGTAGCAGAGTTTAGGTAGCTGCTCTGCATTGTCTCGGCACATGGATGGAAGAAGATAACAGTGGCGGTATCACTTCCTTAAAGTTAGTTCCAGCCCTTTGAGAAAGACATCTACTGTAATGACATGTATTGTCCGGTGCTCATTATTGCAAAATTAAAATGATTATGTGTTTTTATATGTGATCTGCTCATTTTAGCTGACTCTATGAGCCAAACGATGCATTAGTCCGTTTGTTTTGTCTTGCATTGATTTACGATCTACAAATGTAAAAATGTAGATTCTTCTTTTGTGCACAAATAATGAGATACAACTGTATCTATTTTCACGATGCAAAATCATTAACATTTTAAAAATCTTAAATACATCTTACATATCATGTGTACATAGTTGCACTGGTGGATGTCATTCTGTTCCTCTGTCTCCTGATGTGTTTTCCATTGTATTACTTTGTATCTAAATTTTGTACATAAATAAAAAGAAACAAAACCTACTATGTGTTCTTGCAGGGAATGAGCCCTCTAATGTACGCCTCAGCAGCAGGAGATGAGGCACTAGTGCAGACGCTCATTGAAGCCGGAGCTCACCTGGACATGCAGGTAAAGAGTGATGGTGGTGTAGGTAAAACCTCATTGCATAACAACAGGTTGTGAAGTATGTGTGTGCTTTATGTTCAGGTCCCTGGCAGCTCTGCCAGACATCCGTCTGTTTACCCAGGCAGTCGGCACTGGGTGGCCTTAACATTTGCTGTGCTTCACAGTCACCTGTCCGTGGCTCAGGTGAGTCCTTCAAACAGACTCCATCAGCAGAAAAACATTTCACTGGACTACTGAAATTAGCATTTTAATTGCTGCAGTGGTCTGACTGAATGAGTCTCTCACAGTATCGTGTTTCTCATGCTGGCAGCTGCTTTTGGAGGCCGGTGCAGACGTGGAGGGTGGAGCCTTGCTGGACAGTCAGGAGAGCTCAGCTGAGACACCACTACAGCTAGCTGCTGCAGCAGGTATCATTCTGCTGAACATTTTAGTGTGTGTAATCTGAAGTTAACTGACAAAACTGTAGCTTTACCAAAGTGGACCTTTTTGATCAGAAACACATTGTTAATAAGAATAAATTACAATGGTGTAAATAAAAACTGGTTACAATGTAACATCTATTTTGAGGTTTTCGTGTGGTTGACTGTTTGGTGAAAACTATTTGTATGAATAGATGTTTTAGCAGAATAATGACTTGTATACTGACAGCGCTGCCAGTTTAGGCTCTATGAGGGGCCTCATGAGGGTCATGTGACCACGAGTCACACATGTCACATGTCACATGTTTCGAATGGATCCACCAATAGAACATCCGATCTTCTCAGGTTACTACGACATGGTTAGCCTGCTGCTCGCTCACGGAGCAGACCCTCTGATCAAAGTGCATCATGGGAATTCACCGCTGTATGAAGACATGAACTGCTTTAGCTATGCAGCAGCACATGGGCACAGGTGAGACTTAAAGTTCCACATTTTCCAGTTCCTGTTTTACCTTGCTCTTTCACACATATATAGCAACACATTTGCCCTTTCCACCTGCAGAAACATCTTCAGGAGGCTTCTGCAGCAGCCACAGCACAGGAAGGAGGACATCCTCTCTCTGGAAGAGATCCTGGCTGAAGGAGTGGAGGATGAGGAGGAAGAGGAACTAAAATTTTCAACACAGCCTCTAGCTCCTGACTCCCCAAGCATTGTTCCGAGTTTGTGTAAGAACCGGATGAAGGCCCTGCAGCAGGCAGCCTACTACAGCGCGGAGCACGGCTACCTGGATGTCACCATGGAGCTCAGAGACATGGGTAAGCACGTGATGTCAAACTGAGGAACTCTGAACTGGGGTAATCTTTTAATTAAGAAGTAAATACATATGCACTGCAGGCTCCTGGTATAATTTTGAAATGTGCGTAATTTATTTTAAACTTGTGACAGATAAAAACAAAATTTCATGCTGAAGAAATCAGAGGAGAGCAAAATGTGAGATTTACAGTCCTTTATTACAAAGCTCAGGATGAAAATATCCATGAATATCAGACAGAGATTCATCATGAGCTTCATAATGAGCCCAGTTACACCTTATTTGTTACTTTAATTGGCTCTAATGAAATCAAATTGATTGAAAAATTAGTTCATTAAAAAAACACACGTCCAGTGAAGTGAACACATTGAAACTATTAGCCTATTGTGCAGCCCTAGCACAGTACCAAGAAGCAGGCACAGAGGTGTATTTATGAAGCTCATTGCTGGGACATGAAAATCTACCTCAAGTGTTCACTGCTTGGAGTTATTATAATCTGACAGGAGGGTGTGTCGACATATAGAACAATCTGGAAAACAAAGAAAACATGTTTCAACAGCGAGCGTTTAAAACTGTTATCTAGTATTTTTATATACTTATCGGTTTAATAACCAGTTTCAATTCATAACCTTTTCTTTTATAGTCAGGTGGGATGTGATGGACTGTAAGCGATTAGCTGCTGAGATTCAAACGTGAGACCAGTCCAAAAATACTTTCTTTCTGCTTACATGAAGCAGCTCTCTGGTTCAGAGAACTCAGCTAGTAGAGTCAAATACAGTGGCCCTGAGAGGCCAAACGGACTGCAACTTAAGAACACACCAGCAATAAGAAAAACGCTGCAAAAGCACATAAAACACAACGGAAATGGGAAAAAACACAAGGGAAGTGTTTCTGGGGAGACAATAACCCGACGGACCATTTGCAGGAATATGCTAAGATTGCGCTGAGAGACGTAAAAGAAGTTGAGGATGTGACAGCTAGTGCTGTCAGCGTTAAACGCGTTAGCACGGTTAGCTCGTTAACGCGTTTAATGCTGACAGCACAAATTTTTTTTGTTGTCCATGAGGTGTGCACGTTCTCTTTGTATTTGTGTGCTTCAACAAATGAAAGTGAAATAAACTGAATGAACTAACAAAAGCATTCAAAATCCAAACTTTGTATGATGTCAGGAAACTTGGTGGTTTTCCATATATTGCATTGAAAGCGTCTTTATAAAAGGAACATTTGCAATCACCTGCCTGCAGCTTCCTATTTCCTTTGGCTTTGATGAGCAGCGATCCAGAGAGCGGCGGGGAAAAACAGAGTAGTTTAACAGCTTGTTGCTTCTGGCTCCAACTGCACAAAGACCTCAAACACGTTCCCTGGTTCCCTCTCGCTGATCTCTCCAGGTGTCCCCTGGAGGCTGCACATCTGGTTAGAGTCTCTGCTCAGAGCCCAACAGCTGTGTAGGGACGATGTCATCATTTCCCTCCTCACAGAGTTCACCTCTATCAGGACGGAGGACTACAGCCCCGGGCTTCTCTCCACGGGCATCCCGCTCATGTTCAGCATGTTGGAGACCACCAAGGTACAACTCAGCACCTCTGCATCTCTGATTATGTGGCTTTTCCTGTCTTTCCATAATTTCATGGAAATGCGGATGAAGGGTTTGAGGCAGAGCAGCTAAACAAAAGAAACAGAAATGATGATTCCTGACCTGTCTTGAAAAATAGCGATGGTACATTTTTATTGTTAAACAGATTTTAGAGAGTGGTGTCACACTCTGTGCCCAGTACAACAAACATCTACTAGCTCTACAAGGTGGCGGAAGTTCAGTTGTTTTTTTGCTCCCATGCATGAAAGACAAACTGTGTGTCACAATGATACTGCTGCAGAACGTGACAAAGCGTGGTTCCCGACCACTCCCACACTTTTGAAAAGGTACAAAGAGCCAACCATTTGGGGACATTTATACCTGCACTGGGGACTATTCTGAAATTCAAACCTGTTCAAACTATGACACCATATTATAAAAATATTTTCTCATTTATTTACATACTTGTTTGTTCTTTGGTAATTTCTCAGTAAAGTTCATCACAGCACTCAGCAGTGGCATTAGTGTGAGCCACGTTCACACATCCATCAGTGTCATACTCACATGCTGATGGATGCTTCGGGGAAAATTTCCCGCAGATGCTTCACCACTGGAGGAGTCAGAGTTTGGATCATCAGTCTTCTTATATAATACAGCATATATAAAGGACTGTGTGTGGATGTGTGCTGCTGAATGTGCAGAGGTCAGTGCTACGATGATCTCCTGTTCTGTTTTATTCTATGTAGGACTACGTGGTAACAAAGCGTCTGGCGACTGTCTTTTCTCTCTGCTACGGCTCGTCTCCCGTTCCTCCGGTCCCACCTTTGGACGTCACTCTGTCCACACAGCTGGGTAACACTCCCCTCCTGCCAGTGTCAATGTTTAGCATGTTACATTTGACCAACTTATGAAGGATTACATGGTTGTCTCTGCTCAGATATTCATTTTCTGAACAACAAAGAGATGTCAGATGTGACATTCATGGTGGACGGGCGCCCATTCTTTGCACATCGAGTGCTGCTGATGTCTGCGTCAGACAGGTATCATCTCTCTTCTCTGACTGACATTAGCTGCCTGTTATTATTAACCTATAAGAGGCTGCAGACATGTTCTAGTCAATGCAAACAAAATTAATGTGTAAGGGCATGTAGCAAAAGGACTATACAATGCAAGAATATAGGCTCGTGCACGCAATGCTTGGAGAAATTGCATAACATGTAAATTGTAAGTAGTTAAATTTCCAATAATGAGGTCAGGGTATATGTGTAAATAAGAAGTCTGGGTGAGCTAACGGCTCAAGCTTTTGACTCCTCTAAACGCTGCATTTCACAGTTTTTCTACTCTTGGATCTGTATGATGTCACTGAGAGCAGATATTATTAATATGATTAACTCTACAGCTCTAATTCAGACAGAGAAGGACATGAGGGACTGCACATGGCTCTAGTGTAAAGTTATTTTGAGCTCTTATTTAAGCAAAGCTCGTCTAGAAGAGTTATGATAAGTGAAATCCCCCAACAGACTCTCCAAACATGCTGCTGACTCAAAAACACTTAAGCACACTATAAAGTGCTGACAGTGTGAAATTAACCTAAGATGTGAAGCAGCTTTGTATAACTCATAACAGAGGAACCTGTCCACTACACTAAATATTCTGATGTACGTATGTATGGGAGTAGGCGTGTTCAGATCCAGTAAAGTGGGATTTGGCAGGTTGGACCAGTGTGAGGGAAGAAAATAATTTAGAAATAAGACAAATACGCCTCAGCAGTTTTTTTGTCTTTGCATACAGGCTGTGATCAGCTGACCTGTTTGTGGTTGCTGCTTGCCGCCCTTGATTCTAACACTGCACTGCCGTAAGCTTCACCACAGTACTGCTCGCTAAGCAGTTTAACCTGCACCAAACTGTATTTTCATGAAACCTTTGAGTAATACAAAATAATTATACCTTAATTGTTTCTTCTCACAATATGTGAGATCAATTTCAAAATATCAACATTGTGAAATGGATCCAATATTATTATTTTTTAAATAGCACGTGTAACTTCACTGAGTGACCCGACACGGCTCCGTGGGTGTGTTTTTGCCTTTTTCTTTTATTTTGATACAATCCGTTTTTATTATTTGCGGCACTTTCCGGCGCACGCTGCTCCAGCAGCTCCTCTCTCCCCGGCCCGGCTGCTACTGCAATGGGGAAGACCCACACAGCACACCCTGAACCTGCTGCTCCACTCCTCCCCTGCAGCCGAGCCACCAACCACACCTGGACACATCATGATTTAGAACCAAACTTTAAATGTTCATTTTATCAAATGGCGCTGAGCACCTAGAAATGAACCTTTCATCCACTAATAGGAGGCATTCCTCAGTGAGCTTCCGTGTGCTATGATAACCAATGAGAGAAAGTATCCATTTTAATGTGATTATTGATAATTCTTTCAGAACAGCTCTTACACTTTATTTAGAAAGTTTATGTGAACAAGTGGCCTCGAATGTCACCGCCTTTTTAAAGAATGAAATGTGTCCTGATGTGCGTTCTGTCCTGGCAGGTTTCGCCAGCTGCTCGCAGATTCCCCCGATAACATCGTCCACATCAATCACATGACCTACGGCATCTTCCAGGTGAGGAACTAGCTTACCCCTTGTGCTTCGGTGCAGATGTGACTGAGACCTTTAGGTGGATGAAGGCTGTTTGTTTCCCTGCAGATGATGATGAAGTCTCTGTACTGTGGAGGAACTGAGGGGCTGTCTGTGTCTCCCTCTGAAGCCTTGAAGGTAAACGTCCCACAGACTGTGAGTCAATGCCTGCTCCAGTCTGGGCCTTTTTTAGGATTTCCAGCTTGTTGTGGATTGTACTGGTTTGTGTTTCATTAGATGAATCTCTTTAAGCCACTGACTGTGAGGTAGGTTTAAACTATTTATGACTTACTTCTGTCACCGGGGCAAATATTTTAGACGGCATCTGTTATTTTCTGTTGTGTCTGCTGGCAAATCAGTCAAACATTTCTTTTTGGTAACGTGCTTTTTTGGACAGGAGCAGCAATCGTGGCTCAAGAGTTGGGTGTTCGCCTTGTAATTGGAAGGTTGTCGGTTCGAGCCCTGGCTCCGACAGTCTCAGTCGTTGTGTCCTTGGGCAAGACACTTCACCTGTTGCCTTCTGGTGGTGGTCAGAGGGCCCGGTGGTGTCAGTGCGCCCCAGGGTGGCTGTAGCTACAATGTAGCTGCCATCACCAATGTGTGTGTGAATGGGTGGATGACTGGATGTGTAAAGTGCTTTGGGGTCCTTAGGGACTAGTTAAGCACTATACAAATACAGGCCATTTACCATTTTTACCATCAGGTTATTACTATGGCAGAAGTACACATCCATAAATGATTTTAATGTGTATTCACCACTCGTGTGTGCATAACCAGCTTTGTAAATAGTGTAAAGTACACTGATGGTTTACTCTTTGGTATCTGTCTCATAGCTGTTGCCAGTGGCCACTTTCTACCAGCTCCGAGGTCTGCAAAGACGCTGTGAAATGTCACTGTCGCAAAGCCTTACTCTGGACAATACTGTCAGCATATACAAGGCTGCTAAGGTAAAAACACACAAGCTGACATGTAAGACAGTTAGATATCTGGGACACAGCTTTTATTCAAACCATAGACTGCATATGAAAGCACTGTCATGAAAAGTAGCAGTAGTAGTAGCCACGGCAAATCTAAATATCCCAAAAAAGATTAAATTGAAGGGGAGACTGATCAAACATAACTCAGGTAAAGTTTTGGATTGTTGCCTTTTGATGGGCAGTTACAGAACCTGATGATAGGACTCGTATAAACTCCACCACAAACTGTTTCTCTCACTTTATTACTTTAGATTACAGAGAAAATAAAGAATAGGCAGAATTTGTGATTTCTCATATTACATTTGATTGATTGGACCATGTTCTATTTAGACCTTCATGCTTCAGGCTGTGAAACTAAAAACTCGAGCCTTATTTTCTTTTAGGTGTAAAAATTATTGTATTTTTTAATGGTGACTCGAATTTCAAGATCATAATAGAAGGAACAACTGTTTGCATAAATGTTGCTGCGAAAAAAATCTCCAAGGAAAATTTTCTTATATCAACATCATATATAAAATGGATTATCGCAGAGACACTGACTCAGCTTCTGCACTTGCAGCACCATGGAGGAGCTGAACTCTGCAGGTTTTGTGAAGGATTCTTCCTGCAGAACATGGATCAGCTCCTGGACAGGGAGGACTTCCACAGCCTGCTGCTAGGAGGTCTCAGTCAAGAGCTGCTATACCCAGGCCTGGGCACCCGATCTGGACTCGACCAAGATCAGGATCTACTGGTCCTCCTAAGGGACTTGGAGAATGTACTTATCCAGAGACTTTATATCCTCCACTCTGCATGTCGAGAGCAGAAATGGTGGAAATGTTGACTGTGTTCGACCACACTCGTATGTGTACCTGGGAATAGAAGCCATACTGTATATAGTATAGAGACACATTTTAGTGTAGAAGAATCCCAGTATCGATGATCTTAATTAACAGCTCTTAACTGGTTGAAGGTTTTCCTGTTACTCTGGATTTGACTCTGATGTTGGTCAGAAAAAAGGATCAATGTCACGCTTGGCTCTAGTTATTTGTGATGAGTAAACGATCATTTCTTCATTTAATTTTCCCGAGTTTTCACTCGGAGGATGTGTGTTTAATAAAGACATTATCTCAGACCACCTGTTAAAGCTGGTGATTTAACGTGTTAGCATTACTTTACATTATTTTAGCCCATATTTGGGAAGCACGCCAACACCAAAAAAGAATAATGAGAAATATCAGTACTCATTTAAAATGCAACCTTAGGAAAACATTTTCTACTCTGACTTGCTGTCAGATTCAGTCCTGTTTTTGTGGTAATCTGAAAAACTGTTGCTAGCAGATTTTATTAGCTAGCTCAGCGGTCCCCAACCCCCAGGCCACAGATCGGTACCGGTTCGTGAGTCGTTTGGTACCGGGCCGCGAGAGTTGAGGCTCGGGTGTGAAATTTATGTTTTTCAGGGTTTTTAGTGTTATTTTTTTTAATCGTTTTTATCGTTAACTCTGTTTCCCTGGGTCTTTTCCCGTGTGTTATGAACAAATCTTCTTTTTTTTGGTACCAGTACTGGTTTTATTTTGTTGTATTTATCCGCGACACCTTAAAGGCCGGTCCGTGAAAATGTTGAAAATGTTGTTGGACATAAACTTGTCTGTGACGCAAAAAAGGTTGGGGACCGCTGAGCTAGCTAACTGACAGACATAAACGGAGAAGCTGGAACACTATTTTAAAAGTACTCCATGAAACGGCTAAATGGTTTGGTGACATTTAAATAAAGATTTATGGTCTGGGGAAATATAAGGAAACTCAGTTTGAAACCATCATAGATGATAGCACTGCTGTCTCAGGATTGACTGGTTAATTGTTTGGTCCATATATTGTTAACAGGACAGACTGTCTGGGAATATTAAGGTGTTACCGTTGATAAGGTGAAAGGTGCTACATCAATAGGCTTTAAGAACAGATTCAATTTTTGAAAGTGGGAGAAAAAGACTGCCTGTAAAGAATACCACCAATGAGCCTGAGTGACTGCGAGCTTCATTTATGGCTACATTTACAGAACATCTTATTAGTGTAGCGAATCCAAGATGGAATCCAAGATGGCGCCAGTGTGTACGCCAGGCCGTCTTCTTCTCCCCAAGCTCTGAGTACTGCTTGCCGTTTTGCTTTATGTATGCTTCCCGGCTGTTTTTGCACTAATTGCCTATGATCGTCAAACTCTTTTGAATCTTCGACCATTGAACCATCAAACGCCAGACGTACGCTGGGAACCAGGGACTTTCCCCCCGCTTTCGACGGATATTCTTCCCCTCGTACGCCACCTGTCTTTTGCCCCCCTACAGAAAAAACGACTTAGGAGACAGGGTAAACGGAGCGGTATCCGTGAACGCATCAAGGCCTACCTAAAGTCACACGAGGTGATTAACCACTATGTTATCTTGGATATTTTACGTTCCTCCCCATCCTTCCAGGACTGGTCTACCTTTAGGCTGATTCGCCATGTCGGCCAGCATGCTCACTCGGTCTACCTGCTTGGTGTTGGATGCAGACCTCCAGAGGTGGCGTGAAGCACAGCAATCTACGCCTGTTGAGGCGCACTCATAGAAGTGATAATGTGACTACGATCCGGATGGCACTGCTCAACACCAGCTTATTAAAGAACAAGTCCTTAATCCTAAATG